TCTTTATATAACTTACATTTATACTGTCGATTGAGATTTGTGCTTTTAAAGTCCACTAATGGAGCTGAAAATTAAACAGCCGCCCCAACACTGATGTAGAGGGGGAATTAACCGTTGCCGGGGGTTTTTTTGTTTTTAAAATTTAAAATTTTTTCTCCGACCACTGCATTACAAAAAATCACGGATGTTTAAAAAAAAAATGGGTTTGACGATCACAGGTCGATGTCTTTCTTCCACTAGCATAATGGATTTAATTACTTCCCCTTGGGGGGGGGTTTTAACTGACGAAAATTTCATCCAAGGGAAAAAATTATCCAATTTCCCCTGACAAAACCCCACCAGCAATGACACCTTCCCTTGAAGGGAAAGGCATTCAAGGTCTGTGAATTATTTTCCTAGGCTACCACTGACTCAGTAATATGTGGTGCTCCACTGACTCAGTAATGTGTGGTCTCATCACAAACCAAAGGGGAGAAAATCAAGGAGTACATTTTTAAGAAATATAAATTTTTTGACGCTAAAAAGTTTGAGTGGAGTAGATACCCAATATTGATGAAACCCTTTACATGTAACTTTTTACCCTTTAAGTGGGCGAGGGTCCAATTAAACCCAAGCTCGAATGTATTATTTGATCCTACTCAAGGTTTAAGTAAAATAATTTGTGCGGCGGATAGAACATAGTGTAATAGATTTCCCCATAGTTGAACTTATTTGCACAGAATGAAAAAAAACCAAACGTAATCTTGTATTAAAACAGGGGACCGGATTCCTGGAGAAGTTCCGGGGGGCAACGCCCCCCGCGGCCCGTCGTGGCCCGGCCCCTGGTGGACACCTGATCAACCGGCTGTTACTGCTGGGTGCACGCAAAACCCAAATAGAGCCACAGCCCGGGTGACAAACCGACTTTAGGTGCTTGTCCTGCCAGCCTTTAAACGCCCCGGGGTCTGTTGGAACCCCCTTATGTTGCGGGGGGCAGTTGAACATCTCGGGCCCCTGAACTATTGTATGGTCTCAAAAAGTCTAGGGCACCCCTCTTTTCATTGGGGGATTTCATCGGCCTGCCAAGTCTTTGCTTTTGTAGTGAGTATTTTTGTGGCAAGTTCGGTACTATCCCTCTGGGGTTTTTCCCCGGGGTATAAATCAGATCTCCCCCCTCATTCCAGGGGTACAGGTTTTTGGAACCTCAAGCGCTCCCCGTAATTAGGTGTTTTAAACTCCTTATTTCGCGCCGTGAAAGGGTTTTTTCCCCGTACATTTTCTACGTAAGCAATTTCACCGCCTTGAAAGGGCTTATGTCAGCAATATTCCACCTAGATAGAACAAGTGACCTGAAGAGTCATCATGGGCTTGGCATCCCTCGTTTTGAAGGTTCTCATTTTCCATCCTTCTTTTTTTAGCAGACGAAACGAACAATGTTATGGCCTTGAGGTGAGATCCTCCGACATAATGCCGAACTTAAGCTAAAAGAAACCTTTAGGATCAGGAATCGCGGGGAAAAACTAAAAAACCAAATGAAATCGAAAGAAACCCCCAAAATATTTCTTCTCCAAAGCCAAATCAAAATCGAAACAACTCCAGTATTGGGCCCCTACTTAAACAAGATGGGCCCCACACAATGACAGCAAGGAAATGAGTACTACTCAATCCTATGCTCAGTTTTTTAGAAGCCGCTAACCAACGAACAAAACAAAATGAATTTTTATGAAGAGCCACAAAATTTGATTTAAAACAAGCTATCCGATGTTATCCTACGCCAAATGACTTCGAAAAGCGAAAATGACAGCCCCTGCACTCTGCCCCAGGGCCCCAAATCATGGGAAATCTTGTTCTCAAAGAACTGCAAGAACCCCTATCACAGCCTTTTCCCTCCCAGGAGAGGGAGCATGGACACGGGCGCCCCCCGTTTCTAAAAAAAACCCGACAAGCCCCACTCCCCAAAGGGGGCATAAAAACAAACAAAAAACTACAGACCAATAGCCTCCCTACAAAAAATCTTTGAAAGGGTCCTAAGAAGCAAGATCACCCCCCATCTAGAAACCCCTCATTACACAACCCAGGGGAACATGGGTTAGAAAGGGTCGCTCCCGCGTCTCAACTATTGGACACTACACAAGGGCCAAATGCAAATAGAAGACAAAAAAAATGCAGATGTAATATATACAGACTTTTCAAAAGCCTTCACAAGTGTGACCATGGCGTAAAGCGCAAAAAATGCGGGTAAAGGAAAAAACAGGAAAAAATCGGTCGATGGATCTATAATTTAACACTAACAGAACAAGAGAGTACGTCAACAAGTAAAATCCGAGGGGCCCACGGGGAAAAGCTCTGTTCCACAAAGGGACGACTAGCCCCACTGCCTCATCCCAATTTCCGACATAGACAAGGATGTCAGCCACAGCACCGTGTCCCTTCCCTTTTCAATGACACCCGAATCTGCATGAATGTCTTTCCCTTGCAGCACTGCAAGGCTCCAGCGGGCATCAACCCAAATTTTTTTCAGTGGGGGCGGAAAACAATATGAAGTTCAACATAAAATTTCAAATTTCTCAGATATGGTAAACATGAGGAAATTAAATCTTCATCAGATACAAAAAAAATTTCTGGGCCCCAAAAAAGAGCGAAACACCCAAAGCAAAGCCTGGAGTGATTATGTCGGAGGTTCCCCTTCAAGGGCCATAACATTTATCAATCGCATCTGCAGAAAAATGACAGGATGGGTAATGAGAACCTTCAAAACTAGGGGGGCCCAAACCCCTATGACACTCTTTAGGTCACTTTCTATCGGGTGGAATATTTTGGGACTCTAAAAAGCACCTTTCAGGCAAAAATTTCCGACAGAAAAGTACAGAGAACTTTTTACGGCGCGCTAACGGAGAAAAACACTCAAATTTCTGGGGGCGCTTGGGTTTCTAAACCTTACCCTGGGAAAGCAGGGGGGAGAGATCATGATTTATACACCTGGAAAAACCTAGAGGGGCTAGACCGAACTTTCACACGAAAATCACTCACACGAAAGCAAAAAAACTTGCAACATGCACCCCTCCCCCCCCATGAAAAGCGGGGGGCCTAGCCGTTAAGAGACCCTAAATAATTGTCGGGGCCCAAAACTGTTAAAAAACTGCCTCCCAGCACACATAAGGGGGATTCCCAAAACAACCCCCCTGGAAAGTTTTTCCAAGCGGGCCAGGGACAAGAAACCTAAAGTCATTTTCCTGATCGGGCCCCGGGCTGTGGTTTTCGTATTTTTGGTTTGCGTGCGGGCCAGCAGAAAACAGCCGGGTTGATCAGGCGCTGATCCCACCGGGGAAAGGCCTGGTCACAGACCGGACCCGGGGGCTTTTGGGACCCCCGAAACTCTCTCCAGGTAAACTCCAGGTAATTTAAAATAATATATAAAATTTTATAAATATATAAATTTATATATATATATATATATATATTTTTAAATATATATATAAATATAATATTTTAAATATATATATAAATTTTTATATATATAAAATATAAATATATATAAAAAATATATATAAATATATTTTATTAAAAATTATTATATTATAAATTTTATATATAAAATATATAATTAAATATAATAAAATTTTATATATATATAAATTTTATATATTTTTTTATATTATATATATTATATTTTAATATATATTATATATTTTTATATATAATATATATATATATATATTATAAAAATTTTATATATATATATATATTATTTATATTTTAATTTATTTTATATAAAATTAAAAATTTTAAATATAAAATTTTATAAAATTAATATATATATATATAATATATATATATATATAAATATATATTATATATATATATATATAAATATATAGTATCCCCATTTATATTTAAATTTTATTTTATGTTGAAAGTTTAAATTTGGGTAAAAAGGGGTGGGGGAATGTTTTGTCAAGCACTGTTTTGGGTTTGATCTTTCACACTACTAAGGCGTTTTTTTTAATTCATTTTTTTCTTTAGGTAATCGCTGTTGTAGTTTCCCAACTACGAATCCCTAGGTGAGGAAAGGCTGGGTTTAAAAAAGTAATATATGTTAATTTTTGAGGTATATATAACTTTTAAACCGGGAAAGGTTTACCTGGGAATTTCCCGGGGTCAAGGGGCCCCCCGCGGCCCGGTCTGAGACCCAGGCCATCCTTTGGGGGATCAGAGCCTGATCAACGTAGAGAAAGGGTGCTACTCCTTTTGGTGACCTTTTGGTTTTTTGTCTGGATTTTTGTTTGAATTTCCAGTTACTATCAAAGTTTAGATTAATAATTTTCCATCGTTTTTGTCTTGCAATGTAAAAATCGTTAATCATTATATTTAGTTGAATATCTGAAGCTCAGTTCCCAAACATCACATAGGTCTTGTCAGTATTAAGAGTGAGTCACGAAATCGTAATAACACTCTTACAAACAAATCACTGAACAAATGGGGTTTGAACCCATGACAGGCGAGACCTAATACTCACAGGCCAGTGTAGTTTACGCACTGGCTAGTGAGTTTTTGGACTCGCCTCACATGGGTTCATGCTCCACCTGTTCCGTGATTTGATTAAGAAGCGAGTCAATTGGCGGCCAAACCGGTGGGGAAAGCCCAAAACCCATTGGGGTCATATAACGTGGGGCCCTTCCGGTCCCATATCCTCCAAGATAAGACCAACAACGGTCTATTAACACCCAGAAAGAACAAAAAGGACATAATACCGTGACTGGAACAATACACAGATACTCCCGAACGTAGGAGACAGAAGCTTATGACAACTTTCGGGAAGACTTGGACCTTGTCAGTGGTCGAGGTCGGCCCGAAACGTCGTTATAAGCTTCTGTCTCCTATGCGTGGGTTATTTGTGTATCAAGACCCAGGTACTGATTTATTGCTAGGCTAACAGGGACAGTAATTCGCTGAATTTGTTATCCACTTTTTTTTTTATGCTGCACTAATATATGTATTATCCCATGTCTTGAACAGATAGGAATAGAACAGAGGGCCTGGACGATGAGATGCTGCAAGAATTGTCGAATGGGTCTCACTCCCCAGCTCACTCCTCAGCGTGTCATGAGGAACACAAGCCTCATGATGGTATACGGTTGGTGTCTCTGAGATGGAGCGAGGTGGGCGTCTACTATACTATAACTACCTTTGTTATTATTGCTGGCTTTACAAAGTTAGGTAAGTCACTTACTCCAAGAAGCTATAGCTCTCATTGTTGTTATTGCTGAGTTTTCTAAATTAGGTTAGTTACTCCTAAGGGCTATCTGTACCGTTGTTATTATTGTCGTCTTTACTAAGTATGTTGGGCCTGTTTCCTTACACCTGCTGTCCCTGTACACCTAGCAGTAAGTAGGTACCTGGGTGTTAGTCGACTGATGTGGGTCGCATCCTGGGGGACAAGATTGACGGACACCAGTGGAAATAAAACAGTCCTCGATGACGCGCTAACTTTCCTGGGTGACTAACCCTCTGGGTCAAAAATCAGAACAAGTCTTATCTTATATCTCATTGTTATTGCCTACTTTTAGAGTTAGATAAGTCACTCCGAACTGCTATGTTTGCCGTTGTTATTATTTCGGGCTTTACTAAGCTAGGTGTCCCGTAGTTCGATCGCTAGCACACTCAGCTCACACACTGAGGTCCGGAGTTCGAATCTCCGGTACGGCTGGAAAACATTAGGGACGTGTTTCCACAAGACACCTGCTGTCCATGTTCACCCATCAGTATAAAATGGTACCTGGGAGTTGGTCGACTGGTGTGGGGTCGCATCCTGGGACAAAACTGACCTAATTTTCCCGAAATGCTCAGCATAATAATCGGCTTTCTATATATTAATAAGTAAGTAAGTTTATTCAGGTATACACAAATACAGTTACATAGAATTATCATACATAGCAGCATATGTGTAGAGAACCTGGGATAACCCAAAAAAGTCAGACAGAGTGACTTATTTCCATTGGGGTCCTTTTACCTTATTATTATAATATAAAGGTTATAATATTTTCTTATTATTCTATAATGAAGATAACATCTTATTATCATACTAAAAAGACTATCTACTACACGAGGGTCATTAAGACTATCTACAATACGAGGGTCATTACTAGGAATAAGGTAAAATTTACACGTATGTTAGCTAAAAAATAGAAAATCAATCCCCTCCCTTTCTGTAGCTACATTCATCAGACACCTTTTGGCACTCTTCTTGAACTGGTTCATGCTATGACTGGCTTTGACATGTGCGGGTAGTCTGTTCCATTCCTTTATTGCTGTACAATACAATTAGGCCTGTATACCTTTTACATGTACTTGTAGAGATAGATATTATTATAGGTACGACTCCAGGGGCGGGGCGCTGTCTCTGCATTTATTGCCTGTCTGAATTAGGACCCCAGTGAAAATCAAGGATCCCAATGGAGATTCAAGAATCCCAGTAGAAAATAAGTTACTATGACTTTTTTTTTTTGGGGGGGGTTATCCTACATATGCTATGTATTATCATTTTTGTAACTGTACCTGAATACATTTAATAAGACACTCCAGAGGGTTAAATCTGCCTTTATTACCAGCTTTACTACGCAAGGTAAGACTCACTCCAAGGGCCTATCGTAGCATTTGTTATTCCCGGCTTTAGTAACTTAAGTACATCACTCTAAGGGTTGTATCTCCTGTTGTTGTTATCGCCAGCTTTATTAAGTAACTCTAGGGGCATTAGCTACTTATGTTATAACTGCCGTTTTGTCAAGGTTAGTCATTCCAAAGGCTGTAACTGCCATTAGTAAGTATATTCAGGTATAGGTACATATAAATATAGTTACATAAATTATCATACATATCAGCATGTGTGTAGATTACCTAGATTGAGATTTTGCCACCGAAGTGGCTAGTTTAAGATAAGATTTCGTTCGGATTTTTAACCCAGGAGGGTTAGTCACCCAGGATAACCCAAGAAAGTCAGTGCGTCATCGAGGACTGTCTAACTTATTTCCATTGGGGTCCTTAATCTTGTCCCCCAGGATGCGACCCACACCAGTCGACTAACACCCAGGTACCTATTTGCTGCTAGGTGAACAGACAACAGGTGTAAGGAAACGTGTCGAATGTTTCCACCCGCCGGGAATCGAACCGGGCCCTCCGTGTGTGAAGCGGGAGGTTTAGCCACCATATCCATCTCAGGAACTAGGATAACCCCCAAAAAAGTCAGTGACCTATTTCCATTGGGGTCCTTGTAATATATTATTTAAACCTAAAAAGTTAAAACCGCTAAGTAATTCAACTATAACAGATGACAGCAAGGAAATGAGTGAGCTACCCAAGTCCCAATGTGACTCAGTTTTTAGCAAGCCGCTAACCAGACTGAAAGTCGAAGATCAAAATGATTTTTTTTATGAGACACAGAATTTGGTTAACACAAGCCTATCTGATGTTATCCTGACGCCAAATGACTTCGAACAGGCGATAAATGACATGCCCATGCACTCTGCCCCAGGGCAAGACTCCTGGAACTCCGTGTTCGTCAAGAACTGCAAGAAGCCCCTATCACGAGCTTCTACCATCCTATGGAGAGGGAGCATGGACACGGGGGTCGTCCCACAGTTACTAAAAATAACAGACATAGCCCCACTCCACAAAGGGGGCAGTAAATCAATAACAAAGAACCACAGACCGATAGCACTAACATCCCATATCATAAAAATATTTGAAAGGGTCCTAAGAAGCAAGATCACCACCCATCAATTACACAACCCAGGGCAACATGGGTTTAGAGCAGGTCGCTCCTGTCTGTCTCAACTACTGGATCACTACGACAAGGTCCTAGATGTACTAGAAGACAAAAAGAATGCAGATGTAATATATACAGACTTTGCAAAAGCCTTCGACAAGTGTGACCATGGCGTAATATTGCACAAAATGCGTGCTAAAGGAATAACAGGAAAAGTTGGTCGATGGATCTATAATTTCCTCACAAACAGAACACAAATAGTAGTAGTCAACAGAGTAAAGTCTGAGGCGGCTACGGTGGAAAGCTCTGTTCCACAAGGCACAGTACTTGTTCCCATCTTGTTTCTCATCCTCATATCTGACATAGACAAGGATGTCAGCCACAGCACCGTGTCTTCCTTTGCAGATGACACCCGAATCTGCATGACAGTGTCTTCCATTGCAGACACTGCAAGGCTCCAGGCGGACATCAACCAAATCTTTCAGTGGGCTGCAGAAAACAATATGAAGTTCAACGATGAGAAATTTCAATTACTCCGATATGGTAAACATGAGGAAATTAAAACTTCATCAGAGTACAAAACAAATTCCGGCCACAAAATAGAGCGAAAAACCAACGTCAAAGACCTGGGAGTGATCATGTCGGAGGATCTCACCTTCAAGGACCATAACATTGTATTAATCGCATCTAGAAAAATGACAGGATGGATAATGAGAACCTTCAAAACTAGGGATGCCAAGCCCATGATGACACTCTCCAGGTCGCTTGTTCTGTCTAAGCTGGAATATTGCTGCACACTAACAGCACCTTTCAAGGCAGGTGAAATTGCTGACCTAGAAAATGTACAGAGAACCTTCACGGCACGCATAACGGAGATAAAACACCTCAGTTACTGGGAGCACTTGAAGTTCCTGAACCTGTACTCCCTGGAACGCAGGCGGGAGAGATACATGATTACATACACCTGGCAAATCCTAGAGGGACTAGTACCGAACTTGCACACGAAAATCACTCACTACGAAAGCAAAAGACTCTGGAGACTATGCAACATCCCCCCAATGAAAAGCAGGGGTGTCACTAGCACGTTAAGAGACAACACAATAAGTGTCAGGGGCCCGAGACTGTTCAACTGCCTCTCAGCATACATAAAGGGGATTACCAATAGACCCCTGGCAGTCTTCAAGCTGGCACTGGACAAGCACCTAAAGTCGGTACCTGACCAACCGGGCTGTGGCTCGTACGTTGGTTTGCGTGCAGCCAGCAGCAACAGCCTGGTTGATCAGGCTCTGATCCACCAGGAGGCCTGGTCACAGACCGGGCCGCGGGGGCGTTGACCCCCGGAACTCTCTCCAGGTAAACTCCAGGTAACAGCCTTTGTCTATAATTGTGAGGACTACCGAGCTAGAGGTAAGTTAGGCAGCGCTAAAACTAGTGTCCTTTCTTTCACCCGGAAATATTAATAACATATGATGACCTACTGTACCACCGACTCGCCACAGGATGAACATTTAATCTAGACAGTGATGATAAGTTTATCAATAAAATAAAGTAAAATTGTTTAGTTAATTCTTCAGTACCGCGTTATAATAGACAAATCTTTAGTTGATCAAATAACAATGATCTGGCTAGAATTTTTTATAGGAAAATGACATTTTTCTTTCTTTCAACACACCGGCCGTATCCCACCAAGGCGGGGCGGCCCAAAAGGAAAAACGAAAGTTTCTCATTTTACATTTAGTAATATATACAGGAGAAGATGTTACTAGCACCTTGCTCCTGGCATTTTAGTCGCCTCTTACAACACGCATGGCTTACGGAGGAAGAATTCTGATCCACTTCCCCATGGAGATAAGAGGAAATAGACAAGAACAAGAACTAGAAAGAAAATAGAAGAAAACCCAGAGGGGTATGTATATATATATGCTTGTACATGTATGTGTAGTGTGACCTAAGTGTAAGTAGAAGTAGCAAGACGTACCTGAAATCTTGTATGTTTATGAAACAGAAAAAAGGACACCAGCAATCCTACCATCATATAAAACAATTACAGGATTTCGTTTTACACTCACTTGTCAGGACGGTAGTACCTCCCTGGGTGGTTGCTGTCTACCAACCTACTACCTAGAAAAATGACATATTGTTATATAATTGTTTAATTTTAAATTCGCTACTGTATAGATGGAAAATTTTTAGTTTTTGATAGAATGTTGGCTGATAAAAAAAAATAGAGGTTTAGAAGCTTAATTTATAATATACTGTATCTTATGAGAACAAGACATGTAGATATGTCATTCATGTAGGTAACACATGCGTTGGTATGTGTCTTTCTAAACCAACACATGCGTTACCTACATGAATGACATGTTGATTTTTATGTTAATTTACAAAGATAAAACAGCAACAATTAATAATAATAATATAATGGTTGTCCTATCGAGGAAAAGCTTAATTAGAA